ACCTGGGCGCCGACCCCCGGGGGCCAAGCACATTGTTTCCCAGGGACGTAATAACCAGCGGACTTGTGGTGATCTCATTCTGTCCACATGACAATGCGGTGTGAGGCAGCCTCGTCCCCATATTGCAGATAAGGAAACTGAGGAGAGGTGCTAAGTGACTTGCCCAAGGCGACTTGGCTAATCTGTGGTGAAAGTCAAGATTTGATCCATTGATGGGAGTCCTGGCTGGTGTGTCTCCCAGGCTTGGTATTTCTCCAGAGATGTTAGTGGTAGATTCCCTTCCCACAGCAGGTGTAAAGAAAAACTCTCAACTAGTACATTGTCATTTTTTTTTTTTGTCCTTGAATTTAATGAGCTCAAGTGAGAAGATGGATGTATCTGTCCCTAGGGTCCCAAAGTTGGCTGTCTTGTTCCAGGTCTGTAAGGCCCAGATCCCTGAGCTGCAGAATCAGAACCAGCCACCAGCCTTTAAGAAAAAAGTCATCCTTTCTTCCTGTTCTCCCAAGTCTCAAGGTTTATTGAGGTCCCCCAGGGGAGAGACACCCATGGGTTAGAATATTGATTGGGTGGACCCAGATGATGGGTCCAGCTGGAGGTCAGAGGCAGGCTGCTTGCAAGATGGCCAGTATGCTCCTTGAAGTCCAGATTCCCTTTCTGCAATACTGGCACTGCTTTCTGCCTGCAGCCTGGCCAACAATACTGTCTGCTCAGCTTTCTGACACAGGGAGGGAGAGAGAGAGAAAGAGAGAGGGTCTGTGTGTGTAGGTCTCAGGTCTGCATGGGGGAGGGGCCCTCTGGTCTTCAGCTCCTATCTCGGGCCTGTGTAACTCTGCTTTTGTTGTCCTGACTCTTAAGGGAGTGGGGCCATTACTTCTGTTCCTACAGTCTCCCTGGAAGCTGGGCCCACTTTCTTACCCTCTGCTGAGGTCTACTGACCGGGACTAGCTCCCATCACCTGCAGGATAGATTGCTTGCTCCTCAGTGACATGGGAATAGAAAACCCCAGCCAGTGCTCCAGGGTAGAGTGGATGAGGCTCCTGTTGGAAGGTGTAAAATAATCAAGTAGGTGTTATTACTTGTGATAAGCAGGGTGTAGAGACTCCTGGAGTCCCAGTTGCCTGCGCAGGGCCTGGCTTGCTGGGGGATGCTTTACACTCTGGCCTTGGGAATGTCCTGTGCCCCTTATAGTGAGGCCACCCTCTGCCCTTTGTGGTCATCCCCATCAGGGCCGACTAGGGAAAGAGACTCTTGTCTTGGATGGTGAAACTGAGGAGGAGGGTTGGGCTGGCCCTCCTGTCCGACACCCTTGGACGTGTAGTCATGACACAGGCTTGTGCTGTATTTGTTTAGTTGTGTGTGTGCTTTTTGGCTCTGGCTACTAAGGTGATGGAAAGACTGCCCAGGCTTAGAGGAGAAGGGTGGCATTGAGCAATGAGCTGTTCAGGTTGCACCCAGGGTGTGGGGTGTGATGTCAGCATCTGGCACTGTCCTGGAATGAGCCAGCCCTACTGAGACAGGTGGGGTGTGGGCACCTCTCTTCCCGCCTTTCTGGGAGGCTTGTGTACACCTTTCTTTTCTTCATTGTCTTATGAATTGGAAAGACCTATCTTCTCCGAAGTTGATTCACAGCTTTGGATTTTTCCAAAGTAAGTATTCTGCCTGGCTCAGGCCTCAGTTTACCTACCTGTAAAGCAAGGTGATTGGACAATTGCTGTGCTCCTTGAAGCCCAGGGCTTCCCTTGGTGATACTTTGGGGAAAGCTCCTTTAGTTAATAAACATACAGCAAGGGCCTGAGAGATGGCTTCAGCAGGTAAAGGTGCTTGCTGCTGAGCCTGACAACTGTAGTTATATCCCTGAGACCCACATGGTGGCCAGGGAGAATCTACTGCAAGTTGTTCTCTGCTCTCCACACATTTGCAATGACATGTATGCACATACAACACACAGCATATACACATAAATAAACGTAATTAAAATCTAAATCTAGCTGGGCTGTAGACTCAGGAGACAGAGGCAGGCAGATCTCTGTGAGTTTGAGGCCAGCCTGGTCTACAGAGTGAGTTCCAGGACAGCCAGGGCTACACACAGAGAAACCTATCTCAAAAAACCAAAGGGGGCTGGGGAAGCCAAAGCCAAATACATCAAAATGTTAGCACAGTCATGAAAGTGCTCTTGCTTTCACATTGATGTCAATATACCTGGTTCCACTAGTGTGAGAATTTTTAAAGAATATTTATGTATTATGTGTATGGGTGTCTTGCCTGCATATATATACAGGCATCCCATGCATGTCTGGTGCCGGTGAGAAGAAGAATGACTCCCTGGAAGTGGAGTCACAGGCAGTTGTGAGCTGCCATGTGGGTGCTGGGAACTGAATCCATGTCCTCTAAAGAGCAGTAAGTGCTCCCAACCACTGAGCCATCTCTCCAGCCCAGCATGCTCACTTTTTAATAGTTGGCTTCAAATTAAAGCCTCTTTCTTTGGAGAGACTCTATCGCCTGCTTACACAGTTTCAGATTCTTTTGACTTTCTGCAATAGCTGCTGCCCATCAGTTGCATCCAATGAACCTAGAACAGGTAACTTATGTATTGAACTCTACACTATGAATATATACAAAAATTCTGTTTTTACTTACTGCATATTGCAGTTTCTGCTAAGCGTTTTCCTTCTGGAGGAAGGCAGGAAGACAGTTAACTTCAAAAAAGGAAAAAAAGGTCTTGGGAGGTAGAGGCAGGCGGATCTCTAAGAGTTTGAGGCTAGCCTGGTCTATAGAGAGAGTTCCAGGACAGCCGGGATTACACAGAAAAACCCTGTCTCGAAAAACCAAAAGCCAAACCCCCCAAAACCTCTAGGCTACATGCCTGAAAGGGGGTGCCTTGGCTTGTCAGTAGACGAGTATGTGATTGTGCTGGGGTTGAAACTCCAGAGTGCAGGGGAAATTGGGTTCCAGTAAGTGAATATATCTGAGCTGCCAGCCTACCTCTGGTACTTTGACTATTAAGAGGTCACAGTCCAGGAGATGAGACCAAGGTGTTTGCCTGTCTGGTCTGTAGACTGCCAAAAGCATCATAGCTTCATGGGGTGTCTATTGTAGACCCCCAGCGCATTGGAGAAGGAAGGGCTCCAGGGTTCTCTGGCATCGATCCAGAGGATCTCAGAACCTCCCACTCGGGACATTAAATGGTAAGCTGGAAGTATGGCCAGTTTGTTAAGCTGCAGCCCTTTGTGGTCCCATCTCGTGATTGGTTTCTCTCCACGTGCACCTCTATTTCCCTTCTTTTGCTAAGATGGAATTGGTCCATCTTAAAGCCAGTTTAAGTACAGCAATGACTTTTTTTTTTTTAAAGCAAATTTAGAGCAGTGGAACCATCACCCGGGTCTAGTTTTAGAAGCTGGAGTCCACTCCCACCCCACCCAAATTTCTTTCTATTTGCAAACAGCTCTCCTTTGGAGCAGTCAGCAACCTGACCGGTGTCTCTGCCTATATGCTTTTTCTGGATAACTCAGAAATGAGATACCATGTTATGTAGTCTTCTAAATCCGACTTCTTCCACATAGATGGTGTTTTAGGAGTTCTTCGTGTTGTGCTTGTATGTATCTGTAGAATATCCCTTATCGTTGCTAAATCACATGTGCAGATGGGTAGACCCTGTTCCTCCGTTCCTTCACCTTACATAGTCCTGTGTTCTAAGCTTTAAGTGCCGAGTGCTGTGGCTGACATGGTCTACCATCAGCAATACCTATGGCTCTGCCCCACCCACCATTTTGGTTTCCCTTTGGTCCAACCTGCTCTTTACTGTGTAGGAAGTGTGGTCACCGAGACTGTATAGAAGGCAAAGTTGTGAAGCGTTGAT